TGTGTATGTATATATGTATGTATATACGTGTGTATGTATATATGTATATGTGTGTATGTCTCCCCCGGTCCGTCTAAATTACGGTGAGACCGGGAATCGGCTCCCAAATAGCTTTTTTCTTCAGCTATTTAGGAACCAGTGAGGCCCAGAGCTTAAAGGGCTGCGCCTATACTCATAGAATCTGGGGTTACAGTACGTAACCAACGTTCTATTTCGTATAGGCTTCGCCCTTTAAGACTATTGCTAGTGGGTTAAAGGCTACGCAGGATGTAGTCTATGCCTCACTGGGTCCATTCAGACACAACATGAAGCACCTGCTTGCACAAAAAAACATTTCATCTCTCAGCTTTCTGTGTGCGTAATTACGCGCTCCATGCGCAGGAGTGCACCGGAGAAAGATCTCTGGTGAGGAAAAAGGCTGAGATAGCAGACTTGCTGCTGTGAATAGGAACAACGAAGGATACGAATTGTAACAGTGTAACGATGAACAGAGCAGCCCAACAGCTCCTCAGGATGAACCGATTAATAACAATAAAATCAGCGGTCGTGAACTTGTGACTGATAATAAATATCTCACACTGCGACTGCATGCAGGCAGGTGTGAGCTCAAAAGTGAGGCTCCATGAAACAAATAATCATTCTGTTAGAACCCTGAGAACAGAATGGGTCATTCTGATTGAGGAAGTCTCTTGGATGAGAGACGAAATGTTTCTAGATTTTTTTTTGCTTTGTTTTGTTTTTGTTTTTTTGAATGTCCAGAGGACCAGATTGAACTTTTTTGGATTTTTCTACCTGGATTATTGAGCATGCATCAGGATGCTCCTTTGCATCGTTGTTTAGCTTTTCACAGAATGGATCTTGCACTTGCTCTTCACACAGTCCATTGTGTTCTGTTTCTTGTGTTTTGCATATCATAAAACATTGCAGCCACCACCCAGAATGTAGTGCACCATTACGTAGTTGCCCATTCACTATAATAGATACCCCTCTTGATTTGGATTGAAAATTGGATTGAAACACCTGAACAGACCATTTTTTAACAAACTGTCCACTGTCTGCAAAACACACGTGGGTCTCCTGTAAAAAGGCAGTATCAGTGTTCAACTGCTTCAACTGTGACATAATTTTCTGGAATTTTATTGGACCATTAAGGGATTTCACATTCCAGCTTACACTATTAACTGGGCAGCCACTAGGGTGGCCAACATCCTTATTGCTGGTCTTAGTTGAACAGCAAGAAATAATTTGATTATAAAATATCACAAGCCAATACCTGATTAAAAAAAACAAAAAAAACCAAACCCACAAAAGACTGATTCAATATAAACCCACCCCTCTCTCCTACCTAAACACAGAGATAACAAACTCACTTTCAACTGAAAATCCACACATTAGTTCTTACCCTAAAGAACACAATCCAACCATCTGGGCTCCAATCAGCCCACATATAATATGAGTAATAATAATAAAAAAATAAAATAAAATAAACAACAAATTATGCACATATTACTATAAATATCAAAGGTGTACCTAATAAAAACAAACAAAAACAAAAAAACGCTCACATATTCGGGTGTGTACTATATACCAGAATTTACGGTAAATAACTCAAATCATTAACACTGTCCAATCACCTTCCAATAGAAATAAAATGTTGTACATTTCACCATGAAAGGACCTAACAGCCAAATATTGAGTCAAACACAATCTTAAGAATAATGCTGATTGAGGGAGGCTGATCTTATGGTTTCTTTTGATCCTTACCGCCTGTTGTAATGACAGCAGTGATGGAATACGTCCTCTTGACGTATTCCATTGCTTTATCGGAGTCTACAAACACCTTGTCCATCCCTCCATGCATAATGCGAAGTCATGCAGGAAAAAGAAGTCCATACTGGACACCTGGTCAGTTCTGCAAGAATTGCCTCACCTCCGTGAACGCCGCGTGTGCCCTTGGCACACCCGGGGTGTAATTGGCTGCAATGAATATGGATGATTCTTGGAAGTGGATAGGGCCACCGCTGCATGCTCATCGTAATATCTCTATACAATCTTGATAATAATGCAGCCTGGTCACAATAACTTTTGAGTTATCATCCGAGCCTCCTGCCCGGCGTCCGGTACACATGGTCAGTCAGCGGTGACTTGTCCAGATTCAGCACCTCTTTTAGCACCTTGTTTATCACTGTAGAGGAGCATGAGCCCGGCGATTCAGGAACTCCAATAATCCTAATATTGTTCCATTTCATATTCTCCTTCACAGATTTAAGCCTTTTTCTCAGCCCATCCACCTCATCTTTCAACTCAACCACAGTCCCACACAGAGCCTCTACCTCATCTGAGCATAAATACTAGGGATGGGGCCGATCAGATCCAGTATCTGTATCGGGCTCCGATACCAGCATAATTTACGTATCAGATTTTCCGATCCAACCTGCCAATTTTTCCGATCCATGATGCATGTCTGTGGTTGCGCTGCACGTTGGCTTCAAACTACGGAATGGATTTCCTGAACGGCGGCGTGTCTCATGAACCCAGAGTAATAAGACCCACCTCACATTCAGGAAATCCAGTTCATAGTTTGCAGCAGCTACAACGTGAGGACTGAGTTAGCAGCACTGTGGCTAACAGCTAGTCAACTTTTCATCTAAACATGTCGCTGTGTGGAAGTATTTTACACTAAACACCACAAAACAAGACAGCAATGTGCACTGTCTGCAGAGCCATAGCGCCACATTAAACCACGTTAAAATAAGTTTTACATTGGACATTCGAGCTCCGGGGCTTCAGCGGCCTGTTATTTCGTTCAGTCCAGAGAAGGCAGTCTGATTTCGGTCAGCCGCGCTAAGTCTGACCTGCTCAGTCTGTTTGCGTCGTCGGAGGGGCAGACTGAGCGCGGCCGACCGAAATCAGACTGCCTGCTTCGGATTGAACAAGAAAAACACATCGCTGAAGCCCCAGAGCTCAAATGTTTACAGAGAAGTTGCTAAACTTCATCGTAATTAATGACCAACCACTATCAGTTGTAGAAAATGAAGGATTTCTCAGCTTGATACTTGCAGTCAAGATATAGTTTACCCTCCAGGAGATATTTATCAGTACAACAGTAGACAATCATAAAAAAACATATGATTTGAAAATTACAAGAAAATTATATATATATATATACATATATGTATATGTATATATATATATATACATATGTATATATATATATATATACATATATATATATATAAACGAAACAAAAACAGCTACATTATAAAGTGATGTAAAATACTAAAAAAAGGAACATGTCTGTTGGTTTATGTCATGAACTTAGCAGATGTTTAAAGCCATTTAACATTTTATTTAATTTAATTCATTCATTTAAAAGAAACCAAACAAATTCAACAAAAAGAAAATATTGAATGAAGAGTGCAGAAAGAAGAAAAATCTTATATCTGCCCCTTATTTAAAAAAAATATAAAATAACTTTAAACAATCACTTAAATTAATCACTTTAATATCCACTTTAAAACTAGGAATAAAAAGAATCATGTTTTGTGTTAGCAGAATTTAATTCTAACTTAAAAACTTAACCAACATTAATAAAACTTACCTCAAGTTGTCTTTTTGGACATGCATGCATATATTTGTACAACTTGTACTTGAGAGGAGATTATTACAGCCTCATATAAAATCAATGATGATCATGATATCGGAACTGGATCGGTATCAGCCGATATTTAGATTTAGGTATCGGGATCGGATCAGAAGTAAAAAAAAAAAAAAAAAGTGGATTGGTGCATCTCTAATAAATACAGTTCATTTTCAGCCTTTGTTCCACTTAGCTTGACTTGGTCAAACTCAGCTCTGAGGGATGCTGTGTTATTAGCAAGCTCCACCCTGACTAACTACAATTCACGCTTAATAAATTTAAAATCATCCGTCAGAGCCACCTTCATCCTAATTATCACTGTGACTTCAGATTTAATTGAAGCCAGAATGTCTGACTTCAGAGCCAACTCGACCATCTCTCCAGAGCCCGTCGGGGCAGACGCACCTGCTCCCACATCACTGTGGACCGAGGCTGCAGCTGTGACAACAGGCTCGTCGTTTTAGATTTTTAAAATTTAGAGGCCATATTACTATGGATGCACGATCCACTTTTTTTCACTTCCGATGCCGATACCTGCTGTTTAGTCTCAGTCGATACCGATCAGATACTGATCTGATACAGAAAAACAGTGCTGAATTAACAAAAATGGCTAAATCATGTCATCTGGACCCGTTTCTGAAACAGGTCCAGATGACATGATTTAGCCACTTTTGTAGTCTACCTGGATGTTTGAGCTGACAAACCCAGTGCTGAATTAACTTAAAACATTTGTGTTGTTTTTTAACGCAGACATGAATGTACTGAATTACAAATTTATTGAAAACTCTGCACCAGAACAGCACACTTAAACACACCAAGAGCTTCACAAGCTCGGTCAAACATGTAAAACAACTTTAATTTGTTCAGTCAGTACAATTATAACATCCAATGTAAAATAAATAATAATAAAGATACTGAAACTGACAAAAACAAAGGTTGACTACTTTGGTCAAACATGAAAATTAAACTATAACAAACCTTTCAAATGGTTCAGGAATTTTAAATATAATGTAAAGTAAATAATAAAAGAGCTGAAATAAGAGGAAAAAACAAACTCTTCACTAGCTTGGTTGGCAGATATTTAAAATAAACAGCAATCAGCTCTTTTCAATGGTTTAGTGCAATTGTGCATCTGCCCAGTCATGGATTGGTCACATTGTCACGATACCCGATCCAGATATTTTTTTTTTTTTTTTCGATATTGGGACAGATACCGATAGTGGTATTGGATCAGTGCATCTCTACATATTACAGCTCCGTCTATTCAATCCTGTGACAATGCCGATCTCAGACAAAGAACCCAACGGCTGCGAGAATATAATTATAAAAGGCAGCTTTTCAAGCAGGGCTGATGGGAACCTGGCAGGACGCAGCTTATTGAAATGCAGCCATCTCTTGCCCCCTCTGCAGCTGTGGCCATTTTGGCCAAACCTCTTGACTGATATTATTGAAATATAATTGAAATATTATTTATCATTGCTGATGTAAGCACTCAAAGCATGGGTTAAGGTTGACTCTTGGCTCCACCACTCTACGTTTTATCTCAGAATCTGTAAAATTCAGAACATTCGAGACGTTTTGTATTTGTAATTAGCTGTGACAGCTATCTTGTATTTGGTTGACTCCATAACTTTTTCAGGTGTGGATGTACAGCCAATTATTACCTTCTGTGAGTTTCATTAAATTCCATCTAGTGGTTCATGATATTTTGTTAACATACAGAGTTGATAGTTGTAATTAATTGTTTCAAGCTTAAAAAAAATGTTCTCATGCAATCAAAATGTTTATAATTGGTGTTCGGAATGATTATCAGCTACTACTACTACACCAAATGTTATCTTAATATCTGTAAACCTGACTGAGCTAGAGATTTTAGTGTTTGCTCTGGTTGATTAGCTGTGGCAGCCATCTTAGATGGGGTCGACTCCAAAGGTTAATTAGGTCTAGCTGTACATCCGTTGATTACTTGTAGAGTTTTATTACAACACATCCAGAGGTTCATCAGATATTCTGCCAACACCACAGTCAAATGAACTCACAGGTTTGAGCTAAATCATGATCACCTTTGCCTTTGGTAACAGATGATAATGAATCTTGGTTGGGGTGCTTAAGAAATTATTTTGTGTAAGGAATAAAATGCAGCAAAATATGATGCTGTAAAACTAGAAAACAAAAAGCTGCTCTCCTTCACTAATCAACTGTAGCAAACACAAAAATGTCTCTGAGTCACTTTGACAGATATTGAGCAAATATTTGGTGTGGTAGTAGCTGGTAGTCATCCCCAACACAGGAGTTTTTCTGTCCTAACCTATGGGGTCCTGTTCTTGATCCACTGCTTTTAAACCTTTCCATGCTTAGCGCTTTGAGATTTTTGTTAATGAAAAGTGCGTTACAAATTAAATTCATTATTATTATTATTACATGCTATCTTTGGGTTCCATTTTGAGAAAATATTACATCCCTTTCCACTGCTTTGCTGATGATATCCTGGTTTATTTGCCCATTATATTGGACAGGGTCACTCGACTAGAACCACTCTTGATCTCACATGTGTGCATATGGATCATGTGAGGTCTTTCACTTGAAAAGGTGGCAGGTGAAACGCAGTTCTACAAGGAATGCTGCTTCATTTTTCATCTGCTGTGAGCTTCCTGTTCCTGATCACACTGGAGGAACATGAACCAGAATCAGGATCATGAATCAGTTCTAGTTGAACACAAAGTATTTTGTCTTACAGGATCTATCCCAACCACCTGCTACGTACTGTCCAACAGTCTCAAGCCCTTCTACAACCCAGGCATCCAAAGGACCAGGACAGCCTGTCCAGCTCTAGCTGCAGTCTTGAGGCTTTTGGAGCTCCTGCTGATGGGTAAAGTACTGAAAACACAAACCTTACAGTGTTTCCCCTAGATAACTGGCCATGGTGGGTGCTCATCTCGTTCGTAATTTTTTTGGGATGGGGGGTGGGGGTAGGTTGGGTTGGTGGGGGACGGAAAAGCCAGCCACTAGGGAACACAAGCCAGTGCATCTCTTGTGCCGGTCCAAAGCCCAGGTAAATTGCGAGAGTTATGTGAAGAATGGCATCCTATGTATCAGGATACTTATGTTATACACTTTTGCCAAAATCATAATGCGAGTTCATCAAAGTGAAACCATACCGTATCGGTCGAGGCCTGGGTTAACAACGACCGCCACCGGTGCTGTTGACAAACAGGATGCCGGCAGAAATTGTGCAACTGTTAGTCGAAAACCACAAGGAGGGAAATGTGTCAGGAGACAGAGGGAGAAGAGAAAAGTGAAGAATGTAGGACTGATGTAGAACTGGTTGCAACTCTAAATGTGGGGACAATGACAGGCAATGGTAGAGAGCTGGCTGACATGATACAGAGAAGGAAGGTAGATGTTTTATGTGTCCAAGAGACCAAGTGGAAGGGCAGCAAGGCTCGCAGCATTGGAGCAGGGTTCAAACTGTTTTACCATGATGTGGATAGAAAGAGAAATGGAGTAGGGGTGGTCCCGAAGGAGGAGTTGGCAAAGAATGTAGTAGAGGTGAAGAGCATGTAAGATAAGGTGGTTTGCCTGAAGGTCGAAGTAGAAGGTCTGATGCTAGATGTTGACAGTGGTTATGCTCCACAGGTTGGATGTGATGGGGAGAAAGATACATTTTGGAAAGATCTGGATGAAGTGATAGAGAGTATTCCCAGGAAGGAGAGAGTGGTGATGGGAGCAGACCAGAATGGACATGTTGGTGAAGGAAACAAAGGGGATGAGGAAGTGATGGGTAGGTTTGGTGTCAAGGAAAGAAACCAGGAAGGACATATGGAGGTGGATTTGACCAAGAGAATGGAAATGGCTGTAGTCAATACCTATTTCCAAAAGAGGGAGGAACATAAAGTGACCTATAAGTAGGGGTTGAATGAGTATATAATTTTTAAACTCGACATTAACATAATAAAACCCGAGTAGAACTCAAGTATTTGATGATGTCATAGATCTCAAGATACAAAAATAAATAAATAAATAAAACCGCAATAAAAGGTAATTATTTACCAAAAAAAGACCAACAAAACATTGGGAGCGTATATTATGCTCCTACCATTTATCATACTGCAAATAAGTCACAGGAAAAACTAAACTATTAATTATTATTATTAAACTGCAAATGTGAAGAAACATGCAGCACGTCAGAAAAGAAACTTAAAACAGTGGATGGGCGGTGGATTGGACCCGGTGTTACACCATACTCTGTGACCTGCAACAGTGCAACACCGCCCCCTACGGTCATGCGGTGGTCACATAATATGACGTCACTACGGATACTCGACATTACATTTGTAACCTCGATAGAGGTCCTAGCAATCGATGTGTAGATTACTCGAATACTCTGTTAATGCCCTACCTATAAGAGTGGAGGAAGGAGTACGCAGGTCGACTACATTCTGCGAAGAAGAGGAAACCTGAGGGAGACTGGAGACTGTAAGGTTGTGGCAGGGGAGAGTGTGGCCAGACAGCATCGGATGGTTGTTTGTAAAATGACTGTTGAGAAAAGAGTAAAATCAGAGAAGACGACCAAATGGTGGAGTCTGAAGAAGGTCATCAAAGTGATTATCCTGGTTAGATATTCCTAAGGCTGCACAAACTCAAGTTCATGTTGCTGTTTGACTTATTGTTTTGATTGTTTACTGCTATTAGTGCTTAGTGTTTTATAAGTAGATGTTTTTTAGTTGATATTTTTCTTAATTCATATCTTAGATCTTATTACTGTTTTTCTTTTACATGTTGTTGTCTGTAACTGGGACCCTGTGTACATAATTTCATCCCAATTCAGTATTTATTCAACATTTTATTTTTTTTTACTTTAAAAATAAAATAAATCAAGTCCTTATCTGCACAAATAAAGTGATGTGGAACATGTTACATCTGTTCTTACCGAGCACAGAAGCTGCAGCGTTGTGCTGCTCTGTGAGGTGCAGCTGGGCTGTGATGGAGCTCTGTCAGGTGCAGACTCCTCTGATGGAGCTCTGTCAGGTGCAGACTCCTCTGATGGAGCTCTGTCAGGTGTAGACTCCTCTGTTGGAGCAGGAACAGAAGCCGGGAGGCTTGGAGGGTTTAATGTGGAGTTTAGAGATGAATCGTCATGCGCTGAAATACGTTCTGGATAAAATACAGTGAGAAACGGGACCGGAGGACAGTTAGCGTTTATGCAAATTAGCTTAGCATTGTAGCACCGATGTTGTACTATTATGGCGTCAGCCTCTTTTGTTAGTTAAAAATATGTTCAGAACCGATGGGATGAGTAACTTAAAATATGTTTAAAGTTAGAAAACACTCACCATCTTCTATAACTGATTCAAGTAGAGCAGTAACCGTGTCCAAACCACCCTCCAATCCTCCATCTAGCTCGCTTTGACTTTTTTCGTCGGCCACCAAGCACAACAACACCTGCACTTCTGCATTTGACCATGGCTTTGATATTATTGTTGTTGTATAGCTTCAAAATACTAAAAGATACACTCCTCCAGTTATCACTAATAGCAAGCGGTAGAGAAAAAAATGGCAGATCGGGTTGTTTGGAAAGACTCCACAGACTCCTCCCCCGACCAATCAGTGACTGACAGTGTTTCTGACGTCACGGCTCGGCTTGCTTGGACCCCTTGAGAAGCCGGGCCAAAATTTAGCGAGGCGAGCCGGTCCCAGGAACAGTGGAAAAGACCTCAAACGCGCGTCAAGCTGGAAATATCCGACCCGTGCCGTGACAGTGGAAAAGGGGCTTTACTTTACCAGCAGAAGTGTTATAGGGCCAGGATCGTTGCACAGATATTTCCAGCAGGTCTTGGGGGTCCCAGCTCATTCCATCCTCTTCAGCTGACACCCATTCCTCAGTTCCATCCAGTCCAGGATACAAGGGTGGTGCCGTAGGCTGTACATTCGGTCCTTGGGCATATCGTTGTGCTGTGGGGAACTCACAAGGGGCAGCGGACTCCTTTTTTTCAAGTTGTGCCTTGAAGGATTTGATGGGATTGTAGTATGTTACTTGCCAACCCAATGCCATTTCTGTGTGGAGTAAATGGCCGTCTTGCTTCCGAGCCTCGCAGCTTCTACAATAATGGATGATGGTCCCATTTCACTCCCAGGTACACTCTTTCGGTCCTTTTCCATATAGATCCCAATGCGTGATGATGGTCACCCAGGGCAGAGTGTCGATCCTACACTCTCCACAGACATTTGCATCCATCACCTTTACAGGTTTTAACTTCATGTCTTGAAACTTGTTTATTTGCATAAGGTTTGAAAGGTTTCTTTTGTCCTGGGCCTTCCCAGCGAAATGGGAGACCGCTGGGTCTCAAGCATATTACACAGTTGTTCTATAATGCCCCTTTTCCATTAGTACCTGTAGTACTGGTACAGTCGGGCTCTACTCTACTCAGTACGGTACACGTTGCGTCTCCATTATGCTTTCAGTACCGGTTCCAGTGGACTGGGTTCAATTTGACGTCACCACCTCTATGTATATATATATATATATGTATGTATGTATATGCATGTATGTATGTATGTATATGCATGTATATATATGTATATGCATGTGTATATGTATATGCATATGTATATGCATGTGTATATGTATAAGCATATGTATATGCATGTGTATATGTATATGCATATGTATATGCATGTGTATATGTATATGCATGTGAATATATATATGTATATGCATGTATATATATATATATATATATGTATATGCATGTGAATATATATATGCATATGCATGTGAATATATAT